GAGTATCAGGAATAGGTGTCATCCTCAACAAATGGGATCCTTCTCTAAGAAGGTTGGCCACTACACATCTCTCCATCTGAAGTCAGAGGGAAGGGGGGAAGATGGGATCTGGGGAGCACATACTCAGTCCTCTTATGGATAAGTCCCTGGAGTGGCAAATGTCAATTCCACTCACATATCCATGGCCAAATATTAATCACATAGCCACATCTAGCTGCAGGGGAGACTTTTCACTGGGAAACTTGGCCTATGCCTAGCTAAAACACTAATACTGTAGAAGAAAGACCAAATATTGGAAGTTAACTCACTACACAAGATACTTATATGTTTTATCCCTTTAATTTGTAAATATGCTGGAAAACATTAACATATTTTCTAATATAAAGTCATCTTCACATTCCTAGGATAATTCCCACTTGGTCATGAAAATTGTTTTCCTATATTGTTGGATTCTTATTGCAAGCGCTTTATTTGGTATTTTTGCATCCGTGTTTATTAAAAATATTTATTGATGCAGAAAGTAATAATAACACTTTACATTTATATGGTGCTTTGCAGTTTTAAAATCATTTCATATACATTCTCTCACTTTAAAATAGATTATAATCAGAAACTGACTTTTTCTTTAAGTAGATATTAGGTATATAAGTAGAAAATATCTACAAACGGGAGAATGCAAATTTTTCTTATTATTATCTAAATTCTAGAGGGCCAACAGTGAGACTGAGATTAAAGTAAAGGTTAGTGGAAAGAAAATCATGCAAGGGATTGAAAAAAGGATTTCTGACCACATAAACCCAGGGAGGAATGCTATTGCCCTCCAAGATGCACAGGGAAGAGCGGGGCTAGAGACTGTGAAATGTCTAGCATTGTGCTGGTGTCTGGTGTTCTAGATAGCCTATTAATGCAATGTTTAAACAACCTGGTTTGAATTTATGAGTAAAGGCTTTCCTGGTTATTAAACATTCTTTGGCTTTATGAGCTTTTGTTTTGATTCCTTACTTATCTGCATATATCAAATTAGATCCTGGCAATTGAGCACTCTCAGGGGAAAAGGAAGCACTAAAAATACAGGATGCTCCTGCTGTCATCTGGCAGTGGGTCATGTGTGTCCTGGTCACACATTCTCCCACAGGACTCAAGAGCTTTTCCAGAACACACAATAATTACATAACAGCAGCCACTCGCCATTCACAAGTATAAAGTGCCTTTGGGAGGAAAATAGATGGTAGGCTGATGTAATTTTGCAAAAAAAGAGGCACTCAGTGTCACAGTAAACAGAATTTCTCAAATAGTAGGATATCTTTGTAGGTTGCCCGTACAAAATGTGCTATTTTTTAACTTCTCTTCCCTGAGCCTTGGAGCCTCCCTCATGTCACAGATAAATAGTAGGTACTTAGGGGCAGCATTAAACTCTGAGATCACTGCCGGGCTTTTGGAGCTCCCCCCTGCTTCACCCCGGTTTCTCTCCTTCCCTGCCTCACACAGACCCATAGAAGCAACTATACTGTAGAATACCTGAGACAATCTGCTGGCTTCTGACACTGTAGCTGCACATTCCGAAATGAAGCAAAGATCGGGGAATTTGATCACTCACATCGGTGTATGTGTCTCATTTGAACAACTGAGATCCTGGAGTAGCTTTTTGCCTTAGATTTTCTACATTGATCAGAATGACAATTCATCTAAATCCACTTGGTACTATTTTGGGGACACCCTAGGTACCCAAATTCTTGGTGACTATTTCTATTGGGATAAATACATATCCCCAGTATCACCTTTTGCCACGCACAATACACAGGCTAAAACACACAGAGAAATATCCCAGAGTCCCATCTATTTTTTACCATAATCAACCCTAGAAATTTATTATGAATGTTGAAAATGAATAAAGCTGAAGTCCAGATGAATAGACCCTCCCCACTGTCATTTGTACTGTTTCTCTTTCTGAGTGGGTGTTATTTAATACATAGCATGAAGGCACAACAGTAGGACAAACAACATAAGCAGTGTAACTAAGCATTTAAGTTTAAAATAAATGCTTTAAAATAGTTAATTATACTTTATCCTACAGGAAGACAAAATGTTTTCTCAGGTCCCTGAAAATGGGTGATGAGTAATTTAAAGCTTTGTGGAGATCGAAAATTTGTTTGCCTATTTTTAAAATGCTGAACTAGAGTTTGAAACAAGCTGTCCAGTTCCAGAGCCCAACTCTTAATTGTTAGACTCTGTGGTCTCTTAAATATAAGTAGGTAATGGGAAAATTATAGGGGGAAAAATAGTCAAGATTTAGGCTACCAGATAGTAAGTATGTTAAAAGCTACACAATTAAAACAGCCTGGTACAGGTTCAGCAAAAGATGGGTCAACCTCATACACCCAGAAACAAACAAACAAAAACAGTGCAGAATAGACCCAAATATATATGATAATTTAGGGGGAAAAATAAATTGCATCCTAATCTTCCCTTCTATCACATTATAGTATCAATAAATACCGTATTGCTATTAAATCACAGTTGGGTTTTTCAAGATTTAAATGTAAAAAGTAAAATTATAAGGTTTCAAGAAGCAATTTTAGATGAGTATTTCTATAATCTTGGGTGAAAAAGAACTTTCTAAGCTAGATAGCAAAACTGGAATCCATAAAAGAATATATTAGTGAAATTTGACTATAACCTGTGAAACTTGTGCATGTCTCAGCATACAAAGTCTCATAAATAACCCCAAGATGCCTTCCTCAAAAGAATCTCATTCTAGAGCCTTAAACACGCCTAAAGAATATAAATAAAGGAATATATGAAATAAAAAATTATGATTCTACGATTACTTCAATAACTCTAAAATGGCTGCATTGCTGGGATGAGCCTCTTTAGGCCAGATTAGTCCAGTATGCAAAGAAGATCATGTTCCTCTAGAGACAAAACCTGCCAGCAGCCTTAATCCCTCACAAAACCTCAGACCACATGCAGCCATTAGCCAAAGTAAATGTGAAAAGAAAAGGAACAGAATTGTCAGTAAATTCTGCAAAGTTGAAATTCAGGCCCCCAGTCTCAGTAATTCCCAGAAATAACAGCTAAACCCAAGCACTCTGTGGCTTTATGATTTTGCAGTTGGACCAATGCAAAGGTTTTAGAAATTTTTTTATCTATAATGCTATATCAATTATATGTTACAGCATACACAGACACCTTTGTATGTCGTTAGCTTTTAAAGTATTTATTCAGCCTAAGTGAAACACTATCAAAGAATTTAGGATTGAAAACCCTGCATAGAGAGCAAGTCAAGTGAAAGCCCTAAGTAGTTCCTAAGAGATTTGCAACACCCTGAACAAATGTAATCTGGTAGTTCCAGCTCGCTGACTGACCTCAGCATGGGAATAAGGCCAGCTTTAAGCAGCTACAGCAGGATTTAATTTTGTCCTAAATCTCCAACATCCTAATTGCAAATTTGCTCCCTCCGACTTGTAGTCACCACAGGTATTAGAATATTTCTACATGGACATAGGGGCTGTGTGCCCTAATCATTTTGCATTGTTCTCCATGGATCTGAATTGGGGTGATCCCTGAGAACCTATCCTAGTGAAATTAATATTCTCTTCCATGTGTTAGACACAATGACATGGGTTGGTTCATTTGAATCTGGTATCATATAGTTTCTAAAAATCACCTTGTAGACACCCCCAGAACTCCTCATCAAGAGGACAATAACTCTTATAACTCAGGCCCAAGAAAAGTGCCACTTTTGCTTCAAACTAGGGGCAATGTGGTGGGAGTATTTAAGAGTGCAGTTAAAGCAGTCCTGGAATTATCCGTACTGCTTCCCTCTATTCTTTGCTTGGTAGGTGGTCACACAAGCTGTTTCTATCGAATTAGGTTATATAAGCAAAAAATAATTGTGGGACTATTATTTTATGTTGGCAAATCATATTAGAGCTCTTTAAGGTTGCAGTTCCCAACCCCCAGGCCGCAAACTGGTACCAGTTCATGGCCTGTTAGGAACTGGGCGGCGCAGCAGGACGGGCGAGCGAGCAAAGCTTCATCTGTATTTACAGCTGCTCCCCCTTGCTTGCGTCACTGCATAAGCTCCGCCTCCTGTCAGATCCAGCGCAGCATTAGACTCTCATAGGAGCTTGGACCCTACTGTAAACTGCGCATGCAAGGGATCTAGGTTGTGGCCCATTATGAGAATCCAATGCCTGATGATCTGAGGTGGAGCTGAGGCGGTGATGCTAGCACTGGGGAGCAGCTGCAAATACAGGTTGTCATTAGCAGAGAGGTTTGACTGCACAATATATGTAAAGCACTTGAATCCCCCTGACATCCTGAAAACATCCCCACCACACTCCCCAGTCCATGGAAAAGTTGTCATCCGTGAAACAGGCCCTCGATGCCAGAAAGGTTGGGGACTGCTGCTTTAATTCCTTTTTTTTTTTTTTTTCCCTTTTTTTTTGTTTGTTTGGTTCTTCCTTTTGGAGGAAATTTGCTTTGGAATTCTTCCCCGGGGTTCGTTACTTGATTTTTCTTATTTTTTTTTTGGGGGAAGGGGGGGGGGGAGGGGGGGGGGTTTTCGGCCGGTTGGCTTGCCCTTGGGCTTTTTACCCTTTTGCCGTGAGTGCAAAGTCCCTTTTCCTCCTCAGGGTATCTGTGGAATGCAACACATAACAGCAAACTGGGCTGACTGGGAAGGATCCGCCTTTACCAGATCCGAGGTTAACACTTTAGGGATGAGAAAGAGAAGAGCATGATCATGGCCTCACTGGTGCCAGCATCATGAATTCAAGTTAGGTTCTTTTCTCCCGTGCAATATGGCAGCCTCCCTAGGTCACTGAAGAAAGAGAAAATTTGATTCGGTTTCTGGCTAGTAGGTCTTCTTAGCCTGGCGTAGAGTTCTCAAAGGTAGGGTCATTATTTGGTTGCAGTTACTCAGTCCAGACATACCACTCTGATGCCCACATCTTCTCCCCTGACCTTATTGCCCGTTCCTGCTCCTCTCGCCACAGGTGTGGAAGACATCGTGGCCATAATGATTCCTGAGCCGAAAGGGAGGGAGATAGTGAGCCTGCTGGAAAGAAACATCACCGTGACGATGTACATCACCATCGGAACCCGGAACTTGCAGAAATATGTGAGCCGCACTTCGGTTGTGTTTGTCTCCATCTCCTTCATTGTCCTGATGATCATTTCCCTCGCATGGCTGGTCTTTTATTACATCCAGAGGTTTCGGTATGCAAATGCCAGGGACAGGAACCAGGTGAGTAGCAAACAGTTAAAAAAAAAAAACAAAAAACTTTAAAAAGTGGTTACAAAAGTGACATATATGATTGTATAAACTTTGTACATCACAGAAAATACCAAGATAAAAACAAAATTACCTATTATACCCCCACTCAAGATAAACACTGCTAACATTTGCTGTATAGTTTTTCAGATATATTCCAAATATACTTATTTTGATGTTTTGCTAGTATTGTGTAAAATGGAGGTCATTTGTCCTGCAATGGCCTTATTTTTTTGGACAATTATTTATTTAATAACCCACATAATAAAGGGAGAAAGGGGAAGTGAGCTGAGAGTATGCCAGTAGTGTGAACATAATTTGGAAAGCCAGGATTTCCTCCTTGTGAAAAGAAGAAGAAAAGGAGATAAAAATTTAAAGCTATTTTAAAAAGCAATTAAGCATATAATATACACATGGTATAAAATGCAAAAGATATAAACTGGTATATAATGAAAAGTAATTGCCTTCCCATGTGTGTGTCTCAGCTACTCAGTTCCTCTACCTGGAATATCTTCTTTTCCAGGGGTGTTTTATGCACTTATAAAAACATTGCGCATGCGTGTGTGTGTGTGTGTGTGTGTGTGTTTAAATGATGGTGTACTTAACTCTATACCCTTATCTCTTTCTTCATATTGGGCATTAATTCACTTCAACACAAGAAGCCAAGCTGCCTTCTCATTTCTAATGACTGCATAGCATTTCATTGTCTGTATGTGTCACATTTATTTAACCAACATCTATTAATGGACACATTTTCTCATTGAAAAACAATGTACACATGACACTTAGCACATTTGTGAGTATGTCTGTAAGGTAAATCTTGGACGTTCAATTGCTAGGGCAATGGTATGTATGTTCTAAACGACCACAGGTACTGTCACATTGCCGATAAAATTTGAACCAATTTATTTAATATGTATTGAAAATTATGAAATATGTATGTATATGAAAATTACTGTGTCTGCATATCATCACCAAAAGAATCTGTTACAGCTTATTAGCGATTTGGTAAGTTAAAAATGCTATCACTTTTCTTTTTTATTACAAGTAATGTTGAACATTATTTTCAGGTACGGTAGAAAAAGTGAAGATTTTTCTGTGAAGTATCTGCTTTTATCATCTGACCGCTTTTCAATTGAGTTTTTGGTCATTTTCTTGTGTATAAGCTCTTTATTAGTCAAGGAAATTAATCGTTTGTTGTAATATAGGATTCAATTTCCCCCTCAGCTTTTCATTGTCTTTGATTTTATCTGTGGTGCTTTTTGCCATGCAGAAACTTTTAATTTATTAATCTTTTTTAAAATAAATATTGTATATATTTGAGGTTTATAATATGTTATGGGACACATATAGATAGTAAAATGGTTACTATAGTGAAGCAAATCAACATATCTATTATCTCACATAGTTTTTTTGTGACAAGAGTAGCTAAAATCTACTTATTTAACAAAAATTCCTAATATAAAACAGTTTCATTAACTGTTGTCCTCATATCATACATTAGATCTCTGGACTTCTTCGTGCTACATATCTGCTACTTTGACCTTTGACCTGCATCTCCCCATTTCCTCCTCCCTGCCCCTTCCCTAATAACCACCGTTCGATTCTCATCTCTGCGTATTTGACCCTTTTTAAAAATAACATTCCACATGTGAGATCATGTAATATTTTTCTTTCTATATCTAGCTTATTTCACTTAGCTTACATCCTCCAGTTCCATCCATGTTATGGCAAATATCAGGATCTCCTTTTTAAAGGCAGAATAATATTTCATTATGTGCATCACATTTTCCTTATCCATTTGCCCATCAGTGGACACTTAGGTTGTTTCTGTAGCTTGGCTGTTGTGAATAGTGCTGTAGTGAATATGGGAGTGCAGATATCTTTACAAGGTGGTGACTTCATCTCCTTTGGGTATATATGCAGAAGAGGGATTGCTGGGTAACATTCTATGTTTAATTTCCTTAGGAACCTCCGTACTGTTTTTATAATGGCTGCACTAATCTACATTGCCACCAACAGTGTATAAGGGTTACCTTTTCTCCACACCCTAGCCAATGTTTATCTGTCTTTTTGATAATAGCCATCCTAACGGATATGAGATCTTATCTCACAGTGGTCTTAACAGAGTTTTGCATAGTAAGACTTTTCTATAGGCCAAGACTACAGAAGAACATTCTCTCACATTTTCATACTTGACTTTTTAAATTTCACTTTTGTGATTAAATCTTTAATCTATAGAGAACTTATTTCAGTATAAAGAATGAAGTAGAGAGCCAACATTTTTTTTCCAAATGGCCTACCGTTTTTTGTAACTGGCATTTATTGAATAATTAATCTTCTCCCTATATGTAGTATTCCCATTTAACATATATTAAATACCTATACTTGATTCTATTTCTGTGCTTTTCAAACTGTACCATTAATCTGTTATTCATATTCTATCTAGTACCATATTGTTTTGATTGCTATAGAAGTATAATATTTCTCATACCTGTTAATGCTAACTTCCTTTATTGCTCTATCTTCATTCTTTATATGAATTTAGAACCAGTATATCATTTTTTAAACTTATACAATAATATAGGAGAAATTTATAACCTTATGATGTTGAATCTTCCTATCCAAGTATAGTATGTTTTGCTCTTTATTCTCCTCTTATTTTTATTCCCAGTAGCATTTTTCAGTACTTATTAATGTTGGACATTTTTCTTATGTTTATTTTTAGGTATTTTA